ACTCCCCGCATGCCGGCCCCGTTGCGATTCACCGCCGGGACCCGTGGAGGGATGCGGGGGCATTTCCCCTCGCTGCGCCCCGACCTAATTGCGTTTCTCCTCCTGCATCCCGGCCTGGGTGCATTTCCCCTCCTGCATCCCGATCTGGGTGCAATTCCCCTCCTGCATCCCAATCCAGCTACATTTCCCCTCCTGCATCCCGATCTGGGGGCAATTCCCCTCCTGCACCTCAATCCCGGTGCAGTTCCTCTCCTGCCCCCCAATTCAGGTGCATCTCCCCTCCTGTGTCCCGTTCCAGGTGCATTTCCCTCGGTGCACCCCGACCTAATTGCTTTTCCCCATCCAGCACCCCAATCCACCTGCATTCCCCCTTGGTGCACCCCGAGCCCGTTGCATTTCCCTTCCTGAACCCCAATCCAGGCGCACATCCCTTGGCTGCATTCTGACCCCGTTGCATTTCCCCTCTGTGCCCTGTGATCCAGGTGGATTTCCCATCACTGCATCCCAGTTCCATGACATTTCCCCTCCTGCACGCCAACCCAAGTGAACTTCCCCTCTCTTCACCTCAATCCTTATCCCCTCCATGGTACATTTGCATTTTCCTCTTCCCCTTGTGCACCCCAGTCCACCCCAATCCCAGTGCCTTTCCCCTCCCTCCCTTCTTAGCTCCTGGGAACTGTTGTATCTCCCCTTGGAGCATCCCAAAACCCGACATTTTGGGTCCCGGGCCCATCCAGGACCCAACATCCCAAAGGGTGTGTTCCCTCCCCCGTGGTTCAGGAGGGATAAGTGAGAATTTTCCCATTTTTTCAGGGATTTTCCCTGGGGTTTTCCTTGCCTCTCACCTCTCTCCATTCACCCCCAGGTCTACGCATCCATGAATACTTGTACTTCCAAGTGCTCAGTCCCGGGGACATCCGTTACATCTTCACTGCCACTCCAGCCAAGGATTTTGGTGGCGTGTTTGTAAGTATTTAAAACTCAGTTTGTCACTCTGGGTCCCTCCATCCCAATATTTCTCCTTTGTGGGACTCAGTGATTTGGATTTTTGATAAGAACAGAGCTAATCGCTCTTCCATGAGCATCCTTGGCCTCAGCAGGCTTCCAGAGGCAGGGATTGGGCTGGCTGTGTGGCACTTGGAATGGGGCACCTGGAAGCTCAAAATCTCCACAAATGAGCAGGATATGGGACATTGAGGGGCTGAAATGTGTCCAGGGAAGGGAAGGGAGCTGGGGAGGGATCTGGAGCACCAGGAGAGGCTGAGGGAGCTGGGGGGGCTCAGCCTGGAGAAAAGGAGGCTCAGGGGGGACCTTCTGGCTCTGCAACTCCCTGACAGGAGG